GAGGTACAGTCAGACTGATATATGTACCACTGTTTTATAACACCAATGCTGTTCTTACCAAGCTATAGAAGCACTAATGAACAAATGAATTCAGGATTAAATCCATAGGCCTTGTTAATTGAATACTATACAGTAGGATTCTAGAAATATATTCCATTTTGATAAAATTACTAGGGCATTAATCCCTGAGGCTTAGAGATTTTATATAATAAAATTGGTGTTAAAGGTAAGTTCAGGGTGCCAAACTAGCAGGTTCTCTCTGATTCCAAAAATAATTGTTACACTTTGAATAGGTGTATTATCATAAAAAAATGAATTGTGCTGGAAGCACTTGTAGTAATGTTTTTAATTAAACTTGTTGAAGAAATACTCATTTTTTTTTGGTGGTGGTGTTGGGGGGGGGGGGGGGGGGGGGGGGGTGAAGAGCAAACTGGTAGCCCCTGGATTTTGGATGTTGGTCTTTAAATCAGGTTGAAGTGTTTATGAGGGGTAGGATGATACACAGGTCTTGCGATATGATACCTGATATGATACATGTATCTTGATATTATGATAAATTAGAAAGCTGTAATAAACTTAATATTTTATTTGTCTTCTTGACAATAAATCAAAAAATTGTTTTATATTAAATGACATGTGCTTTAAAATTATCAATTTCATTGACTAAAAAATTTACAAAAACAGTATTGCCAAATATCTATAAACACATTGAGTTTTGAATATCTAGGTCAAGTTCTGTTTTGGGTACGATCGAGCAATTTTTGACAGAGATATGCCCATTGGACTTAGAAAAATTACAATTATTTGCAGTTTCCGTTCATTAGCTTTGCAGAGGTTGCACATACTGAAATGAAATTTGGTATACAGATTTATCATAAGAATATCTAGGTCAAGTTCTGTTTTGGGTACAATTGAGCAATTTTTGACAGAGTTATGCCCCTTGGACTTAGAAAAATTCCAATAATTTGCTTTCCATTCATTATCTCTGCAAAGGTTGAACAAATTTATTACTGATATATCATTAGAAATGTGTTTTTGCCAAAGATGTGATGTAGAAGACTATTTCTGGTTGATGTATCTCAGATAGTACCGGTAGATGACCCCTATTGATGTTAAGTTCGAAAGGTCAATTTCATTTCCATGTACACTGCCCATAATGTATACTGCCCATAATAAAGGCTTGTGCACCGTATAATGTATGTCCAAGGGGGAGGGGGGACCATAAGTGTTTCACAAACATATATTGTTTGGAAATTAAGATTATAATGTATGCAATACATTAATAATCATCTTATACTGCTATTGTGATTTATGCATATATTGTGTTTCAGGATATAAACATGACATAAATAATGAATTTATGCATCTTGTTTTACAAATAAACACACTACAGGTAACTCTTGAAGGCTCGAACTTCGATCTCTCGAAGTTCTTGATCGCTCGAAGTGAGTCTCCGGTCCTAAATTTTTCCCCTATATAACTAAGCAAATTTACTCTTGATTTCTCGAATCTTGATCTCTGGAAACCCTTGATCCCTCGAAGTCAAAATGCAGTCCCGTTATGCATATTCTATTAGAATTTACCCTCGATACCTCGAAGTGGCTATGTGTACACAAGGTTACATAATTAACATCTTTACCTGGACATTTAAATGGCCCCAGGCAGAAGACGCGGGTCTCGAGGAACGGGATGTTTATTCAGGTGACACATATGCTGCAAGGTGATAATTGATTTATAATTAATCATGTTTTGCATATATGCTACTAAAATAATTATCATCGACTCTCTTACGATAATTTAGAGACGCAGTGTCAGTGAAAAGTAGTAATTGATTAATAAACGAAACACTAGCTTATTTAATTTTTATTTCGTGTCAGTGTCAAAGTTAAATGAAATATTAAAAAGCAGAAACAGCCTCATTGTCAATATGATGACTATTATTGGACAAATACTTACAGAACTGCGTTCAATTATCATGTAAGGAATAGTCAATGCTATGTACGATGCTGTAAAATGTCGTTTTCATGTAACGAATACTTAGTATGATGTCCGTATTACAAAGAAAAAATAAATATACATGAAATGACGATATATATTTTTTGCTTTACTCAGTTTAATGAAATATTTATCTGAATTACGAAAAATATCACTGTTTTATAAAAACCACGTGTAAAAGGTTAGCACCGCATGAAAATCATTACATCCGGTAAGACTAATTTTGAAACCTGTCAACAAAGCTGGAAAATTCCGGACTCCTGAAAACTCGAACTCTTGATCTCTCGATGTTTTTCCTCAGTCCCGCGGACTTCGAGGTATCGAGAGTTACCTTTAAATTGTTAGAACTACTATCATCCTATTCTATACTTGAGCCGGATAACCTATTATATGCATATGTTAATAAATCTGCCTGTAGTATGCTGAATATTATCAACTTCATCCAAGCATTAGATTTAAGATTGTTCAAATCATGACCCTCGGGATAAGGTGGGGCCACAATGGGCAATCAAAGTTTTACATAAGAATACATAGGAAAAATCTTTAAAAATCTTCTTCTCAAGAACAGCAAAGTCATGATTGGTCATATTGATATGGAAGCATTGGTAAGTAGTGTAGAAGTAAGTTTGTTTAAATCATGACCCTCGGAGGTAGGGTGATGAAAGTTTTACATAGGAATATACAGGAAAAAGAGTTTTCTGACAAAGAACAAGAAGGGCCATAGTTGCTCAGGTGAGCATTGTGGCCCATGGGCATCATGATTTTATGTGAACAAAATTTGAATACTAAATACATCATAATATGGCTATACTGTCTCAAAGCATTTTTTTTAATTCTGAAATACATGTATGTTCCTTGTAAAAAAATTCTCTTAGAAGATAATTTGGGGATCAATTTGCTAATGTCAGCATCTGTTTTTAAAGAGAATTCCAGGATTAAAGACCAAGTAATTTCCTGCTGAGGTCTTGGTCTTCAATACATTTGCCACTGCTCCGCTGGCTTTAATCTGGACTGTGGCTTTATTCCGGACTTTCTGAAATTAATGGGGGACATCAAGGCTGCTCCATTACAATGTTTATAACTATAGCATGTGAGAGGTCACGTAGGTGAAGTATTATTGTAACTGCCCTGATGTTTTTGAAATTCCATTGATCATACTTTACTTATACGCTGACGTCAATACCACTGGTTTATATTCGTTGTCACATCTCTCTAAGACGTATTTGGCTTACTCTAAGAGCTTACAAACTTCTGTAGGCAGCAAAAGCTAAGCATATACATCTTGTCTAAGCAGGCTTGTTTTTTTCACATTCTATCCACATATTACTAATCTTGTCTCACAAATTGCCACAGTTGTGGTAAGTCTGTCTTTCTCAACATATCCTGAGTTTTATTGAATAAAATCAGATATGGTTATCATAATTATTGGCTTTCAAAATGTTAGATGATCTGACTCATAAATCTGAAAATAGCAAGAACTGAGAGTGACATTTCTTCTGATTACTGAATTTATACTTACCCCTTATTGTCCACATTACAATCAGGCCGAATTTGAGCAAAGTGAAGACCAAATGTGATAATAACATGTTCTAAAAGTATGCAGTGCATGTTTATCAATTTAGTGCCTCTCCATGCTCCATACAACATCCCTAGATTTGGAGCATTTTCCTCCCAAAATGTGGGAAATTTATTAGCAGATGTATGATTTCCTAACAGTCTGCATTATTTTATTTTGAGGGTTGGGGCATGGGGGGGGGGGGGGGGGGTAAGGAGGGAGCTGTAAATAGAAACCAGTTTCCACCTTTCACATCTAAAATAAATGTTTTCACTTTTTCTCTGTGTTGTAATTGATGATCAGTTATCTTTGCTTTTCACATAATCTGTCATCATGAAGGGCAGACTGAAAGTTAATCTAACTAATGACATAACACCACAGGGGAATAGACCATATCATTATATGCATAGAGTGAACTTCACTTCACTTGATATTATAGAATTGACAGCTTTTAATTGCTTCTATTTCAGTTTATTCATCATAATATGAATTGACAGTACTTGGGGATAAAAAAAAAAATTCTGAAAAACATCTGAAATACATGCATTATTTCTGTCAAAAAATATTTTGGAAAGAAATGATCATAATAGAAGTCTGTTTTGGCTTTGGCTCTGTGTGTAGATTGAGAGGAGCCACTACTGCTTTGATGTTTTGATTACATTTAACCCAGTGTGTAACTTTATTATATTTCACCTCTAGCAATGTCCAGCCTGTTTACATATTTAAGAAAAGAAATCATTTGTTTTTAATTACAGCATATCTCTATCTGTGGTATGCCACTGGGTATAGATAATTTTAGCACTTTCATAACATGTTGTATCATTTATGTTAATGGCCGCAGTTCAATTGTGGGCTTAACTTTTCTCAATTTGATGTTTATCAACTGGGCATTTTATTGAGTTGGTGTGGCGTTTTTATGTTACACTTGATGGAGAAAGAAATCTTTTATCGCATCTTTGTGATCATTAAGACGTCTGCACAACAAATTGGAAATACTTTAGTATATAAAGGGAATCAGTAAAAAAAAAAAAAATCAGAAAACAGATTGGATTTACTTTGAAGAAAGTGGATACAGGTTGTTTTGGATATATAGGTTTTGGTTTTTGTGTATATTTTGAATAGCAGCGAGAGTCGTAATACTGTTATGATGTGCTCTCTCTGATTGTGAAGCCGGCCACTCGGGAAGATCAATCAGCCTATTTATAGATCCTAGCAACACCTTGTGTGTCATCAGAGAGTTTGGAAAATCTGTCATCCTGATAAACAGAGTGGTTCAGCAGACGACAGATGCCACCAGTCCACAAACTACACACACCGTGGGGAAAAAGTCTGTAATTTCAGTTGATGCAGAAAGTGAAGCATTTTAGTTGGTGTTTGATTCCTTAAAAGTATACTTCTTAGTTCATGTTGAATTATTAAAAAGGGATTTACAGTGTATTTAGAATTAATTAGTGTCTGGACATTGGTTTGAAGAAAATATGGAGGAAAAAAAGTTGGAAAATGTGGAGGAAAAAAGGTCAGAAAATGTGGAGGCAAATGATGCTTCTCTAACTGAAGTGGATACTGTTGGAAGTGAACTCCGTACTCCACATATCAAAAGGGTGCCACATCTCCACAAGCTAGAAAAGTAAGTAAGGGTGCCATGTACATCTTCCACATGCTAGAAAAGTAAGTAAGGATGATACGTACATCTCCACAAGGTGGAAAAGTAAGTAGGGTGCCATGTACATCTTCCACAAGCTGGTAAAGTAAGTCAAATTATGTGGAAACTGGAAGAATTTCAGATGTAGAGTATTCTGACAAATAGACATGTGGAAAGTCTTATTTAGCTTAGCAAATTCAAACTTGTTGAATTTTAGTACTTTAGTAAGAAAAAACAAACAGACTAGGTTCACTTTGTGCACATACATGTATATATAAATGTCCCAGGAGTGTCACATAACCTAGAAGCATACATCAATGTTAGGTTTAAGGTGCAGAGGTTTAATTCACACTTTTGCAGTGCGTAATTTTTTTATTAGAGTTTTTTGGTGGGAGAAAATGACTTTAAAATGCATGTATTTATTTTTTTTTGAAGAAAATAAAGGTATCCAAGAATTGAATGTTATTAAACATTAAAATAATTAAAGCATTTAAATTAATTGTAATGAAACATTAATAATTATAACTCTGTTAATGTTTACTTGTAAAAGTTGTGCTGTATTAAGATATTGTAGTGAAACTAAAAATTACCAACCATTTTTGGGATCAAATTTCACATTTATTTGGAAGAATACGACAGCTAATTAATTATTATGACATCATAGATCATAGTGCAGAGAAGCTCCAACTAATGAACAGATAGTCTTATCAAAGGCAAGATTATCAAATCCTGGTGAATCCATATTCTTCAGATTTAAATATATGTATCTTATAACAATTATCTGTTTAATAAGAGATATAATCTTTGCTACAGCATTTTGAAAATATAAACAAACACTTCCACATGTAGACAGTCTTCTTTTCTTCAGTCAGTCATTAACTAATTTTCAGATAATGATTGTATTTATACACATATCTCCCCAAAATAATGAAGTAATTCATGCCCATTTTGAAATTGAGGCAATTTAAATATTGCAGACTGATTCTATTAAACATGTAATTCAATGATCAATGAAATTTATGTTGATAAACTTGTACACTCTTAATTTGCATCTTTTAGACTCTAGACAGAATGGTTTCATTTTCTTGTCCTCAATTCTAGATCCAGTCGTATTTAGATGGGGACTTTAATACACATACAGATATTGCTTATTAAACTCTAAAATTTCAGAAAGCCTCTAGGTACAACATTGTACAACACTTCGTTTTGATTTTGAGGGACATTTTATTCTTCTGAACCACATTACTCGGAACAAAATAATGGTATAATAAGTAGTTCTGTAAGATCAGAATGTGGCAACAGAAATCAGGTGATCGAAATTGATCTCTCGTAAATAACAGAGATAATTCCAGCATTATTCAAATTAATAATTATCTCTTTTTTGTGAAATCTGAAAAAAATCCTGAATATTTGAATTTAATATTTATATTCAAATATCAACCTTTTGAATGAATATTGAATATTCGAATATTCATTGTCAATAATCCATACTCTGTATAAAAGTGAAACATAGATGTAACTTTCAGTGAGGTCATATAGATAATTGCTGCTGTAGCAAAAACATGACTTATTTCATGATGCAAAAATCAGTGAAAATGCGTAGTTTAGAAATATTTTGTTACTTGAAAGAAAAAAGAATGTGCATATACCGGTAAATTAAATACTTAAACACTTAGAGATTTAATGCTAGTTTATCAACAGATCCAATTTTTATCTGAAACTTCTAAAATCAGTGTTTATACAACAGATTTTACAGTTCAAAGTATTAATTATCCCTACACTTGAATTAAATTTGCTGTCATGTAAATATAACAGTGTAAACTTAATTGCTTGTATAGAACATTCACCTAATGTGTTTATGATTAGATTACGATACAAGCAATATAACTTTGGTATAAGCAAACATAAACCAGGGATTGTTGTTTACTTGGGATAAAAAAGAAAGTTTCTTTAGGACACGACAGTCCTCTCTAATAAAAACATTTAAAAGGAAGACATCGAATTTTATTATTCTCATATAAGGTCTATAAGTTTTAGAGTTAAAACAGATACAGGAGTGTTAACATATGTTCTCTTAAAAGAAGTGGACAGACATATTGTATATCCACTTCTGAGTGGATGAAGGCTACATTTATGCCTATCCACTTCTCTAGAATGTTTATAGCAGTGTTTCTGCAGACTACCCAACAACTGAGTACCAAAGTCTGCATGGCCAGATGTCAATACTGAATCTAGAGCATCTTTCTATTTTATGTGGCACGGCATTATTACATGGGATTAATCTCAAACACATTTGAATTGATTCAGAATTTGAAAAGAATATTTATATCCTATCACTATTTATCCTTGCAAGTTGATGTTAATATGTTACATGTGTTAATCCTGATATATTTACATCCACTGAATATTACTAATTTTCCTCTATTTGTTATGAAAACCATTGTCATTTATTAGGCAGTAAACGCCACGTAAGCCACCTGCATAGATTTTCTTGAGCAACATACGGCTCTTCCATCAATTATGCATACAATGACATACACATCTATTATACAATATTTAACACTTACTTTAAATGTTTTTCATACAGATATAAAAATCAACAATAAAATGTCTTTCTTTATTTGTTAGTAAGGGAATTAACGTCACAGCTATTGCAGAAAAAATATACTTGACCCCCAATTGCCCCTGAGGGTGAAAATCCAAATTTCGAAACCTTAATGGATATCTACAGGATACACCCAATAATATTCCAAAATATGAATGGGCTACTGCAAAAAATGTAAGAGGAGTTCAGGGAAGCAGGTTTTTGTAAAAAAAAAAAAAAAAGAAAGATCGTTTTTGACCCCCAATAGCCACTCAGGGTGAAAATCAAAATTCCAAAAGCTTATTGCACATTTACAGGACACTCCCAATAACATTTCAAATTATGAAGGGGCTACTGCAGAAGATGTAAGAGGAGTTCAGGGAACCAGGTTTTTTTGAGTAAACTCAGGTGACCTATTGCTATCTGTTTTTGTCTGTTGGCATGCATTGTGTGTCGTCCATCGTGCGTTAACATTTGAACATTTTCAGCTTCTTCTCTGGAACCACTGAACCAATTTCAACCAAATTTGGCACATAACATCTGTATGTGAAGGGGGAGTAAAATTGTGAAATTCATGACCCCTTCCCCCCTGGGGCCTGAGGGATGGGGCTACAACCATCTGTCTGTCTGTTTGTTTGTCTATTTGTTGTCAACTTTAACCTAGCCCATAGCTATTGTGCTGTCAAGGGTAAGGCTTTAATATTTGACATGAGTGTTCATTATGACAAGACCTTTCCATTGGTACAGAAATTTTTGATCATGTGACCTCAACTGTGACCTTTGACCTACATTTGAAAAACTTCAACATTGGCCATAACTATTGCACTGTAGTCTACATCCCACTCCAGAATTGTGTTACCATCGGGGGCATAGTGTTTCACAAACACATCTTGTTTGATAAAAGAAATGTGCATTATAGATACGGACGATCATGTTGAAATTTTGGTTGGAAGAATAAACTTTTATGGGGAACAAATACTCCTTAATGAAACCGTATGATTTCTTTGATATGGTAGATACTGTTGGGAGTTTTTGCCATTATTGCACAGTGATTGACAAGTGTTCATAGTTGCCACTTAAGAATTCAGACATTTAATTTGTTTTGATGCCTTTGCCAGGAAGACCAAGGATACTCAGTATGATTTATAATTATACACCGTTTATGTTGAAAGTAAATCTTAAAAAAAAAAATTATATTGAATTACTGGATGTATGGGTTGCATGTTTTTTTTCTTCAAAAACTTTATTAGGGTCACTTCTTTTTTTTCACTATAAAGTCATCTTTATAAGGAGGCAACCCCCCCCCCCCCCCCCCCCCACCCCCCAAAAAAAAGAACAGAAAAAAGAACAAAAGCAAAAACAACATACACCAGAGAAAAAGATATTCTAAATTATCTGCATCTGAAAATCATATCCTGCAAACTGTAAAAATCAATTTAGTGTGAGATTAAGGTCATATGTAAGGTTGTTTTATGTTTTTCAAAGTAAAAATAGCAGGGATCAGCAACTATAGGAGCATAGAAGAGCTATAGGGGTAATAAACACAATGTTACAGTATAAAAATTATTACCTTGTGAAATGGTGAAAAACATTATACTAGTCACAAACTTCAGGTTACTTAAAACCAAATGGTAACAACTTTGCACCATGGTCATTTGAACAAGGGAAAGTTCACTATAGGTGGGAATTAAGTGTAAAGTTATTGTCCACAATAATATTTTGTAATAAAATAACTTGAGAAGGTCAAATTTGCCCCCAGGGGTTGTAATGATCATATGTTATTACCTGCACAAAGGTTATTTAAACAAGGTCAAGGTCACATTTTCGTAGTTGAAATTCTGAGAGTCTCATAAATCTTTAAATTCTAAAAGAAAAATCTTGTTACTGGAGGAGCATCAGGAGGTGATACTTGCCGAAAGGTTGCTTGTGACCAAGAGGTCTGTCATGATCTTTTTTGTATAAGGTCAAGGTCACATGACTTGGAAGTTAAATGTTCTTTAGGCCATAATTTCAATGATAAAATCATAAAGCATAATATTTCTTGAGAGGAATACATGTTCCTAATCCTTAAATACAAGCATGTTTGAAAACAGATAAGGTCAAAGTCAGATTCAGAGGTTGGTGGAATTTTCTAACTTCTCTAGAATACTATGTTTTACAAATACATCATCTCTAAATGAAGACAACCAATCATGTTTAAGGTTTATCTTATCTGATGTCACAGCAAGACATATATATCATAAACCGAATTATTTAACAAGAATTCAGGCTTGCTGATTTATAATCACAAGGCCAAACGAAAAAAAGAAGAAGAAAATCGATGTTAGCGATAATGAACATTAATTGTAGAGTAAGGCTACAACAGAAATGTTAAAGCACAGCCCATTGTTGGCAGAATCCA